GCATCCAAGGGTTGTGTTGTTGTTTCATCTTCAGCAAATTCCACTTTAAAACATTAGCTGAGGTTTAATCAGCCCTTTAGTTTGGAGATGAATTATCTGACTTTCAGGAGTAGGACCATCTGCCAGGCCGGTGCCAGTCCCCATCGAGGCCTTCCCAAACCACAGCTCAATTCTTGATTAAGCCATTTGCCTTTATCTCCTAACAAATGCTGTCAAACCTAAAATGGGGAGGAGGGCCCGGCTAGTGAAATAAAATGTAAATGAAACAGGACAGAGGTAACTCAATATCCTGTGTCATGTTGTATAGACACTTAGTTTCCCCACATATTCTAATTCTGATTGGGCTGTTAGTGGTGCTGGGGATGGATGGGTGCATGCAGTCACACGCATAAAGGGACAAACAATGAACGATACAGCGTTTAAGATTTTCATCTGCATCTTCATTGACGAGGAGGTTGTGGAAAGTTAATGACAGCAGTCTAATCAGCTGCTGGTTTAGTATGTTTCTTGTAGCCTGGATGAACTTCTGGAGCTGGTGGTCCTTGTTCTGCTCTGCGTAGCGCCACATGAAGCAGTTCTTCACCTGCTTCTTGTGTGGGAAGAGCTTCACAGCAGCAGGAGCTGAACAAGGACTATCATTACCAGCTGGAGTCCAAGATGATGACATTTCGAAAGCTGCTGAGTGATACTGAAGATCAGCACAACAGTGTCCTGGTCAGAGTCTTGGTCACAAGATGGTTGATTTTCAAAATAAAAGCATAAGAGTTTCATTGGTCGTGTTAGATGTGTCCACTCAAATGTTCCTATTCAGATTGTGAAACGCTTTCTCCTCCCTATTACTTACATGTCCAGAACCAGAACAAGAGCAGCATGATGTCATCCTGACTCACCTGGTCTGGTCGTTGGTGAACTCCAGCTCTCCTCGCGCTTCCTCGAAGTCTTCTCCAGCCTTGGCGGTGCCTGACTCGGTGTGGTACGGCAGGATGACTGTGCCACGGGCGCCCGAGTTGCGCACCACCGTCAACTCCATTGTGCCCACGCTCTCACTCACGCGTACCATTCGTTCGCTAAACGTGAAGATGCCAGCATGGTCGTCATCCAGGATAGTCACCGTGGCAACCAGGGGCTCAACTAAGCGAGCTTTGGGTGTGGCGCCCACTTCGTCGCTTTCAAACATCCCCTCTGCGTCACCAACGCGCAAATTCAACAGGCGGACAAAGAAGTGCTCGTCCTCTTCAAATATGTCATCATCGATTATGCCAATCTAGAAACAGAAGATACCAGAGAACAGCGTGAAACGTTAGCTACAAACAGGTGAGTGTGAGTGAGATTCCTGTAGTGATTAATAATTCCTGGTCAGTTTTTGTGTTTTGGATTTTAGAGCAAAGTGAGTCCAGAAGACAGAATAAAAGAAACGTCTCTGTTCAGTGTCCTTCATGTGTAATTATTAATTATTCTAATTTTGACATAACATGTGATTCCTGAGCAGAATCCTATTAGTCAGTGTTGGGAAGGTTACTTTTAAAATGTATTCCATTACAGATTACAGATTACATGCCCCAAAATGTATTCTGTAACGTATTCCGTTACG